TGCAGCTGTAATGGTGAAATTTGGAAGGTTAATTGAATGTGAGCATCAGTTATGTTATGCACACGGAATTCATTTAGCGGTATGTGATGTTTTGTACCAAAAGTCAACCACTTCAGTAGCAGTCCCTCTTTCTGAAGAAATTCAAACTGAAGATGAAGAGCGCAATGACGATATTGAGAAAGATGAAGAAGACTTTAGTTATAGTATTGATTTTGAAAGTGTTTTGTGTGAGCGTTTGGCTGAAGATCCTTTCGATATAGATATTTCATTTGAATTACATGACACACTAGGTAATGAAATCGTCTGTTCTCAAATCATTAATAAGGTTAGAAAAATAGCAAAATTTTTTCGCAAATCACCTTTAAAGAATAACATCTTACAAAAATACGTTGAACAGGAACATGGGAAAAATTTGCACTTATTTCTGGATTCCAAAACCCGATGGAATAGCCTTTTAGCCATGTTAGAGCGATTTATTAAAATAAGATCATCCATATCGAAAGCAATCATTGACTGTAATAAAGATACGGACAATTTTGATCTTGACAAACAAGAAGTTACTGTAATTCGTGACATCGTGGCATCACTGCAGCCATTAAAAGCTGGAGCAGAAAAGCTTGGCAACAGAGGATCGACTTTACTTTCATCGGAAGGTATTTTTTCTTTTATTATAAATGAGTTAAATCAACTAAACACACCTTTTTCAAGAAGACTAAAAGAGTCGTTTATTCGACGCATAGCAGAGAGAAGAAATGTAAAACTGACTGGCCTCATACAATATCTCAATAGTGGAAAGAATTATGGAAAAGTTTCAACTTTCCCAAGTGAAAAAAGTTTGCCAGCCTTACCAACCAAGACTATGTTAATTTTATCAGCAAAACAGATGTTAGATCGTCTTTTTGAAGTATCTACTGATTCTACTTCCGGTGATACAGATCAACTACCAGATGTCGCAAGCTCATCTGCAATGACTTTAGCTGAAAAGCTTGATGCTGCTATCAAAGAAGCTGAGATAGACAGATCAAGAAAAGTGGACAACAAAAGCAGTACTGAAACGCGTCTCGAGAACGAAATAGAAATCTTTGAGGCTACAGGTGAAAAAACACACAACATCTGTCTTCTGTTAAATGCGTTAAAAACGATTCCACCCACATCGATTGAATCAGAAAGGGCATTCTCGGCAGCAGGACTTTTTATTACCAAATTAAGAACCAGATTGAGTGATCGGAGTATCGACCATCTTTGTTTCTTAAAATCTCATTATAAAAATTTACAGTAATATTTGTATTATGTTTTATTTAAATAAAAAATATCATTTTCTAAGTTAGAAGTTTGATCAAAGTTCAGTTTTTTTCTTTAAATTTTTAACTCAATTCGTAGGCAATTTTTGTTATAAGCAGTTTCGAACAAACTTTAACAAATTTTTTTTTATTTGTGAATTTTCTACGTAATTCAAAGGTATTTTTAATACATATTTTACACATCATTATTAATACGATTTTGGAGGTTGTAGAACACTTAAATTACTTTAAAAAATGAAAAATAATGATATCATTCGATTTCAAGATATTTTTTATATTTTAAAAATAATTTATTATATCCCGGGATCCCGGGAAACAGTTCACTTTTATCCCGGAATCCCGGGACAAGCAAAAGACCGGGAAATAAGAAACCCTAGTATAGAACAAGCAGGAAATAAGACCGCGGGCGAAAATGATGTAAGACCCCAGCCTCGTTATAACCTGCAAGGGGGGAGGATTGATTATCACAAGTTGCACCTGAAAGAATGTGATCATATGTGGTTCTCTTCGTAACAACCATATCCTTTGATTTGTCCGCCCTAGTGAGCACTATGTTATTGTCTTTAAGCCAGTTCTGGGTTTTTCTAATATACGACCATATAGGATCTTTGTCTCTTTTACGTTCCCCATGCTTGATTTTCAGTGCGAAACCCAGAACTAGCTTAAAGACAATAACATAGTGCTCACTAGGGCGGACAAATCAAAGGATATGGTTGTTATGAAGAGAACCACATACGATCACATTCTTTCAGCATACATTAAAGATACCTGCTGTACTATTGCATCCCCCAACGCCAAGGGAAAACTGCAAGCAAGAGTCAAGAGGTTCACTCCTTTAGCCAAAGAACTAGGCATCAAGAATGTAATTGTACAATCCCTGTCGACTCCAAGGCTTTTTGGATTTGCTAAAACCCATAAAAAGAACAAAGATATAAGACCAGTCGTCGATAAAGCATATGCTCTTACAATATTACTAGAAAAATGGGTACACAATTTTGTTCAGCAACATGCCCCTAACAATCCATACAGTGTCAAGCAACCGTTAGAGGTTTTAAACAAAATGGCTGATATTAACTCAAAGGAAGTTAAATATTTGACTGTGTTAGACTACAAAGCCTTACATCCATCCATTAAACTGGAACCATGTTTTTGTCATCTAAGGGATATACTACTTAGCAAGATCCCTTCTCCAGGAAGGAAATGAAAATACATCTTAGAATTGGCACACCTTACCATTTTCTCTGCACTATTTAGTTTCAAAGGTGTTACCTATACACAACAAAAAGGGGTAGCTATGGGCAGAACCCTTGCAGGTACGCTATGTGAAATGATACTAGCAATGCTAGAAAACGCACTGTTGCCGAAGTATGAGGCACAAATGATAATGTATGTTCGATACGTAGACGATGTACTTATATTCTGGAACGCTAAACCCAACATACAGAGTTTTATAAAGGATATAAATGACAATAGATTCGGTCTTGAGATAGAGTTAGAGCAAGAAAACGATAAGACCATACATTTCTTAGATCTGTATATACAAATTAACAGCTCAGGAGGGTTCACTACTAAAGTCTACAGAAAGCCCTCATATAACCCTATATTTATTCCTTGGATCTCTCAAGATCCTCCAGCATATAAAATGGCAGTGTTCCGAGCCTTAATCGCAAGAGTTTATTTGCATTGTAGCAATACAAAAGATAGAACGGATGAACTGAATTATATATATAACTTAGCCAGAAAGTACAGGATTAATGTTAATGCTATTATCAGCAAGAGCATAAAGCGCCTTAAGAAGAGAAGTTTACCTAATAATGAAGGAATTATAATAATGGATTATAACGCATCGCTGACTAATATCTTTCAACGCATCGGAAAAGCCAAGAACAAAAGAATCCTATATAAAAGAACCCCCACCACTTACCAGCTATTGCGATCCGATAAGGATGAAGTGGACAGAAACACACTCCCCGGTGTCTATAAAATCCCAGTTACAGACTCACGACGACATAATAAATTAATGTATATAGGAGCCACAGGAAGATGTATCAAGGACAGGTTAGCAGAACATCAAGGAAATATAAGAAAGGAACAACCGTGCACAGCGCTGGCCACATATGTTTTAGCAGATCCGCAAGACGTCAAAGTCGAATGGGACCAAGCAAGACTACTGCAGGTAGTTCGAGACCGTAAACACCGGCATTACACGGAAGCATGGCAGATTTGTAAAGCAAACCATAAAGGCCTTGCAATCAACTTTTGAGAATCGGCAAAATTATCGGCAGCATGGTCCTCAAGCTTAATATAAAGCCTTAATAATCAAAGATTACTATGATACTATGCATCTTTATATTCTAAGCTATGTATTTATCCGCGTTGATCAGAGGTGGTAACCCTATGTATCAGGTCAGTCCATAAGTTCGTGCGCATTTTTATCTACAAAAAAAGCAACAAAAAATTTTAATTAAATCTTATTTCAATGTATAATGTATTCACCATTATTTTGTACAATCTCTTGCCATCTTGATGGTAGCTTTTTAATCCCGTCTTTGTAAAATGATTTCGGTTTTGAATCAAAATATTCAGAAATAGCCTTTTTTACATTGTTCTCATCCTCAAAAGTTTTTCCTTTTAAAAAATTCTGCAAACTCCGAAAAAGATGATAATCACTGGGAGCAATATCTGGCAAATATGGTGGATGAGGTAAAATTTCCCAGTTGAAGCTTTGGAGTTGAGCAGTTGACGTTGTTGTCAGTTAGCTATTGACAGTTCATGTGGTATCCATTTTCCTAGCTTTGAAACTTTTCCGATTTGTTGTAGATGTCTATGAACAGTTCCATGGGATGAATTTAAACGTTCCGCAATTTCATCAACTGTTAAAGATGGTTCTGCTTCAACTAGTGCAGAGAGAGCATCATCATCAAAGTCAACGGGTCTTCCAGTACGAGCCTTATCCTCCACACTAAAATCATTATTTCTAAATCTTTCAAACCACTTCTGCGCAGTCCTTACACTAATTACAGTTTGATTATGAACAGTATTTAATTTTTTGGCTGCATTTGTAGCATTCTCATCACTTAAAAATAAAAAGTATAAAACATGTCTCTTATATTCATCTGTTACTTCCATTTTAACGAAAATAAACAACTGAAATGTTCCCAATTCTGAACAGTATTATATGAATGAGATCCAATTTAACACTTCAGTGTAAAAAGTATCACATTAGACTGGCATTTTTAACAGCAAAACAAGGTTATAAAATACGCACGAACTTATGGACTGACCTAATAATTATGATTTTTAGATATTTATATAATCTTTAGGATTGTTTATACTTCCGTTGCAATGTTAAAACTGACATCATTAATTGCAACAATTATAGGCTAGTTCAAAAACATTTGAAAAGCTTGTTCGTTTGTACTAAGCGTTCGATTTTTACAGTTTTTATCTTTTATTTGATTTCTTTTTCTTGAGAAAGGTCATTTAACATGACCGAAAATGTTTGAAGTAATAAACTTTGGCTGCAAGATAAGGTGTACGAGGGCTGTTCGGAAAGTTCGCGGCCTCAAATAGAACAACAAACAAAATAATGTTAAAACTTTTTTTATTTTTCAATATAGTTTCCTTTGTTAGCAATGCACTTATTCCAGCAATGTTCTAGCTTTTTTATGCCATCACAATAGGTTGATTTGTCAAGGTGTGCAAAATACTCGTTCACTTCAGAGATGACTTCGTCATTTGAATGGAATCTCTTTCCAACCAAGAATTATTTTAAATTTGGAAAAAGGTGGAAGTCACTGGGGGCCAAATCAGGTGAGTATGGTGGATGTGGAACTAATTGGAAGCTAAGTTCGTTTATCTTTTGTTCAGTGATTCTGGCATTATCGTGGTGAAACAGAACCTTCTTCTTCAAGTGTGGCCTCTTTTCTTCGATTTCTTTTTTCAGTTTTTCCAAAAGTATACAGTAATAGACAGCATTGATGGTTTTTCCTCTTTCTAGGTAGTCAATAAAAATGATGCCTTTAGCATCCCAAAAAAACCGAGGATATCACTTTCCCCGCTGATGGAACTGTTTTTTNTTGTTGTCAGTTAGCTATTGACAGTTCATGTGGTATCCATTTTCCTAGCTTTGAAACTTTTCCGATTTGTTGTAGATGTCTATGAACAGTTCCATGGGATGAATTTAAATGTTCCACAATTTCATCAACTGTTAAAGATGGTTCTGCTTCAACTAGTGCAGAGAGAGCATCATCATCAAAGTCAACGAGTCTTCCAGTACGAGCCTTATCCTTCACAGTAAAATCATTATTTCTAAATCTTTCAAACCACTTCTGCACAGTCCTTACACTTGTTACAGTTTGATTATAAGCAGTATTTAATTTTTTGGCTGCATTTGTAGCATTCTCACCACTTAAACAATAAAAAGTATAAAACATGTCTCTTATATTCATCTGTTACTTCCATTTTAACGAAAATAAACAACTGAAATGTTCCCAATTCTGAACAGTATTATATGAATGAGATCCAATTTAACACTTCAGTGTA